GTATTTTCAAACTTTCTGAATTCTGATCTACATTATATATAATGGATGTAGTAAAAATTTTTTATAAGATCACAATGAAGACTGAATCAGCATTGCCTTGCAAAATATCTATGTGCCTGCCACATAGTTGGTTTCAATAAATTATTAGTTGTAACTTTTTTATGATGAGCACAAAACAATAATTTCAATTTATTGAGTGTGTTAGATGAGACATACTTGCTTCATTAGACATATTAATCTGAATTATTTTGACATCTCTAGAAAGTCAATATTATTATTTCTGTTTGAAAAGTGAACGAACTAAGACTCAGAACTCTCAAATCCCTTGCCCAAAGTCACACAGTTGCCATATGTGTGACAATATTTGAGGTCAGATCTGTCTGACCCCAACACTTGAAGCTTTCCCCACAAGCTCCCTCTCAATATTCCAAGTTTCCCTCCACTGTGACATGCTCTGTACTGAGATAATCCTCAGGCCTCATCTCAGGTTGGAGAAAATGCTCCAGAAATTTTTCTTAGATGTTGTACTGTTGCAGGAGCACTCAGACAGAGACTAAAAGGGCACCAAAGCTTTTGGGAAGCAAGTTTATTAGGCAAGCCGGCAGCAACTCAGAAGACTCACATCCAAAGGCTGAGCACTGAGAACAAAGGGGGCTTTCCTTATATACCATTTAGAGCAGGTTACAGAAATGGTGGTGGTACAGCTTGTCCCATACATAATCACATGTTATTTCAATGACTGTTTTAACCTCTGGGGTGAGGTGACCCCCTCTAGTCTCTAGGTCACATCCTCCAACTTCAGTTTTAGTTTGTTTCAAAGTAGCACTCATAAATCTTTCTTCCTCCTCCATGCCTTCCTGCCACATTCCCCCCTTTGATGCTTGGACACACTTCTGGGTCAAAGAGCATCATCTTGATAAAAGACCGCAGTGCTGGGGGATTATGCAGGATAATATCAAGCACGCTCCTAAGACAAGGAATGTTGTCCCTATTAAGGTCTTGGACCAACCTAGGGTTGAGAACCAGCCCCAAATAGGTCATTGGGACTTTATCCCTTTTAGGTCTGTACAGGAACATGGGCAAACTTTTTTATCTTGTCAGTAATCTCTTTAATTACCTTTTTAATCATCAATCTGTAAACACCAGTTACTCAGATTGATTGGTTTAGGCTATTGTAGCCAGCAGGTGAGGTTGAGGCTCCATGTGATTGGGAGCTCCCCACCATTGAGTCTCCTGAGTAGTGTCATTGTAACACTTTTGTCCCAAGCAGATCAAGTCCCTTGCCAGGGTGGAGAATTGGCCTTTTGAACAGGAGATACAGTAATTCCCAACAGAGGTTTTTAGGAGTCATATACTCTCCCCATGGCTGAGGGAGTGGTTTCATTAAAGGGCTCTTGTGGGTTTGGCGATTTTGCCTCCCATGGACAATGGTCTCTCATGTTCGTTCCTCCACAAACATAACACAAAGTTACATTCAGAGATTGTGCTATGGACTCAGCTAATGAGAGGAACAGGTAACTGAGATGGGAGAGCCCCACCTGTCTGTGGGGCCTGACCTAATCCTGAGCAAGGCTCTGGGCAGTAACTGGTCCCATAGTAGGTGGGTCTCCTGGCATAGTTTTTTTAATTGTAACTTTTAGAGTCCTATTTATACATTTTATTTTTCCTGAACTCTGGGGATGGTAGGCATTTGTACCTTTTGGGTTATTTTTAATTTCTTAGCCATCAACCGTACCACCTCAGTCACAAAGATCTACCCATTGTCTGACCCAATAGACACAGGTATTTTGAATTGAGGGATGATTTTCTTTAACAGGCACCTGGCCACTTTTGGGGCTTTTTCAATCTGAGTTGGGAAGGCTTTTATCCATCCTGAAAGGTGTAGACAAACACCAGCAAATACCAGGAATTGTTTCTGCACACAGACTGCACCTCTCACATACTGTCTTACTTATGCTGGAGAGCTTGGGAACATAAAAATGCTGGGCCAAGGTGGTCTCAAGAGCTGTGCACCCTGAGTGAATTCCTTCCTGGAACTGTTTGACAAAAGAGGGAGCCAGTGACTCAGATATGGCAGTATGGCCATCAGTAAAATTCCACCATCCATCCAGTAGAAAATTTTCTCCTTCAGTCAAACCAAGCCTGTTTTTGTGAAGTATGCCACGGTTCCCATTCAGGTAAGGGACACAGGAACAAGACAACTGCCACTGAGGCTCAGGTTTGTTCTCCTGTGAGGGCTGCTCACTTGGCTTTTCCATCAGCCTTTTGATATTCCCAAACAGCTGTTGGTCCCCCTTCTGGTGCCCTTGGCAGTGCATGACCACTACTGGCTTGGGGACCCATACAGCTTTTAGTAATTTTAGAATTTTTTTGTCCATATTTAAGACTTTTTTCTCCCGAGTTAGGAGTCCCTACTGACAGTGGTCATATTTTTAAAAACAGTGTGCAGAGTCACTACTGCATATCCAGCAAAATGTGTGTCTTCCCGGACAAAGCTGTTGCCATCTGAGAAACACTCAACATCTGGATGACTAATGTGCTGATTGGTCAAGCCTGGCCAGATGGAGAACACCTCATCCATAATCTCTAAACAGTCATGCTCCAGTGGGCCTGAATTAACCCATAATAGGGTGTCTGGGTTTAGAGTCTTAACAACCTCTAACTGGATATGTGGATTTTTACATAACATTCTATGGTATTTGACCACTCAAGAGTTTGTTAACCAATAATTTTCTTTATATTTCATGAGAGCCAAAACAGAGTGGGGAACTTGGACTGTGAGTTTTTGTCTCAAAGTAAGTTTGTGTGTGTTTCAGCCACCAAGACAGCAGTAGCTGCCAGGGTGCACAGGCAGGGTGACCAGCCTCAGGAAACTGCACCAAGTTGCTTTAATAAATAGGCCCCTGGGCAGTGCCAGGAACCCAGCAGCTGGGTTAACATTCTTACAGCTCCAGTCTCTCATGTTCATATAGGGAGAAGGGTTTTATCATGCAGGCCCAGAGGAGGGGCAATTGTGAGTGCCCTCTTAATTCTTTTTAAAGGCCTTTTTTTGTTGTTTTTCTCCCCATACCATGGATTTTTGTCCTCTCCCCTTTGTGGCTCCATAAAGGGGTTTTGCCAAGAGAGAGTAATTGGGGATCCAGATCCAACAGAAACCTGGAGCTCCTAGAAATTCTTTAATCTGTGCAGTGGCACACGGGGGGCACTCCTTGGGGTCCCCCACTAATATGGGTTTTTTTGGCTTTTTACATTTTTCCCTGTACTTGGAAGCTGCTTCCCTGGCTACCATAACCTTACATGCTTTCTCTAGGTGGGGCTTTAGCCACGTGGGCTGACTGAGGACTGCATCTTGCCAGCACTCAATATAAGGAAATTGATCTAGGTGTTCCAGGCTCCCCTACAACCACTTCAAAAACTCTATTGACTATGACCTTATCTAATGACCCCTCCAAAGGCCATCCTATACCAAAAGCAGGCTGGTCTACTTCACAGAGAGTCCTAAGCTTGCCAGGAGTCAGCTTGACCCATAATCTGCATTAAATCTAAAGCAGATACCTTAAAGCAACTGAGGCCAATAGGAAAAGGGGACCAGGTACTAGAGAAAAGGTGAGATCAAAAAGAATTAACCTAGAAGGTAACACACATGCACAGGAAATTAATGTGAGTCAATGCCCTGTATAGCTATCCTTATCTCAACCGGCAAAAACCCTTGTTCCTTCCTATTATTGCTTATAGTTGCTCTACAACAAAATTAGAAATAAGGGCAAAATAGTTTCTGCTGGGTATTAGGGGGGAAGGGGAGTGGGTGGTAAGGGAGGGGGTGGGGGCAGGGGGGAGAAATGAACCAAGCCTTGTATGCACATATGAATAATAAAAGAAAAAAAAATCCCCTCTTACAGTTCTAGGGGGTGTCGTTACTCTGACCTCCTCCCTTTCCTCCCATTTGCCAGACATCTAGACAGAGACAAAGACAGAAGGGATGAGGGCTGTGCAGAGGAGGTAAGGGGTCCTCCTTTCTGGCACATGGGGGAAAACAAATAATACCACTCACTTTGTCCATCTCAGGCTGCTCCCCTTGCAGGGATTTAGGCATCTCTTGGTTGTAGTGAGTCTGTACAAGCCCCAGATCAGAGGCCCCGTTAGGGCTCACCCTAGACCATATGAGTTCACCACAGACCCGTGGATCAGGACTCCACACTTGCTTCATAACTACTATGTCTCAGGGTCGCACTTTCACACACTCACACAGCACAGTACTTCCACCCTGTTCCCTGAACCTGAAAGATACAGTTTCACCCCCCAAAAGAGTAGTTACTGGTGTGCCTTTTGAGAGTTAATCAGACTCCCCTTCTGCCTCCTGAGGCAGGCCTGAATTTGAAAACTGGTTCTTACCTGTATTATGAGTGGGGCTCCCAGGTTGGCTCCTGAGCCTTTCCAGTTCCTTTATGCAACCAGAACTCACTTCCTCACCTCACCAGGAGAGGGGCTTCCTCCCCCAGATCAACATGGTCTAGTGGCACCTGACAGGGGCAGCCCTACCGGTGGGCTGGGGAGACTAAGCTGGAGGCAAGGAGGTGAAAACACCACCCTCCAAATCCCGGAAGAGCCCCTAGAAATGTTGCAGGAGTGCTCAGACAGAGACTAAGAGGGCACCCAAAGCTTTTGGGAAGCAACTTTATTAAGCAAGCCAGCAGCAACTCAGCGGACTCATGTCCAAAGGCTGAGCCTGGAGAACAAAGGGGGCTTTCCTTATATACCATTTAGACCAGGTTACAGAAATGGGAGGTACAGCTTGTCCCATACATAATCACATGTTATTTCACTGGCTGCTTTAACCTCTGTGGCAAGTGACCCTCCTCTGGTCTCCAGGTAACATTACCCAACTCCAGTTTTCCTTTGTTTCATTGTAGCACTCATTAATCTCCCTTCCCCCTCACTGCCTTCCTGCCACAGTACTTCTGAGATGTTGTTAATGTATTTTTGGTCTGTTCTCCTTGAAGGGTATTCTTTTTTCCTCAGTGGAATGTGTCAAATCCACACAGGACCTTGTAAACCTCTATCTGCATGAATCAAATCGGGTTTATCGGGATAAGATGGTGGAAGAAAAGGACCATGATCTCTTTGATAAAATCCAGACCAAAGTGCTCAAGAAAAGTTTTGACGTAAGTATTGCCCTGTGGTTTCATTTTTTTTTACTTTTGAGAAATAATAACTATTCTGATGATCACCCAAATGATATAATCTAATCCATTAATTGGAAAAAGGTTAGAGATTAAGTTAAGAAAAGTAATTCTATCATTACTTTGCCCAGGCAAAAAAGTGTATGGACAAGATAGACACAAATTAATCATAGATATCAGGACTGAAAGGATCTACAGAGATCATCAACCCAAGGGCCCATATGATACCAAGTTCCCTCAGTATCATTTCTGAGGGAAATGCCATCTTCACTTCTGTGGCAGTGTTTTAGATAGTTGACCAGAATTTTAAATAATTTGTTTCAGTTTATTTTTACAGGTCAAACATCCTCAATTATCCTGCTTCTCTCATCATTTTTGGTGTCTGATGTTCATAAATCTCACATCTTAGATGCTCCCCCGCTTAGGCATTACAGAGTGTGACAATTTATGTCAAAGCAACCAAGCTTTGATTGTCTTTATGAGTTGGTCTGAGCTACACTTTCAAGTAACAATACTCAGTTTCTTAAGTAGAGCGAGCATCTGAAGTGGGTTTGTACACAAAGGCCACCATCCTTTTCATTACAGACCCAGTTAGCTGTGCAACTATTACCTTTATCCACGAGCATTTGTAATACCAGCCTGAAGCACCATTGCCCACATCAAACCTTGGTATTTGGGAGGTTCCCACTAAAGAAGTGATGCAATCCTGCTTCTACCGTTATCTACCGTTAACATTTAAAGTTCTCCGATTCATGGCCCTGCATGATGTGGCATCACTATTAAATAATTTTTGATTCATTGTGTTGGTGGATTCTCTCTCTCTCTCTCTCTCTCTCTCTCTCTCTTCCCCTTCTACACAATATGGCTCTGATCATTAAATTGGAGACTGGTTTTGTTCATAAAAGAGTCTTTGTAAGGGCTGGGGGCATGGCTCAAGTGATACAGTGCCTGCCTAGCTACTGCAGGGTCTGAGTTCAAACTCTTACACTACTACCAAAAGAAAGGAATCTTTGTAGACCAAGCTTTTCAAAACTGTGTTTTCATTTCTTCTTTGCTATGGCCTTAGTGTAAATTGATGTCCATCAGGACTGATCCCCAATGTATAAGCCCATTCTCAAACTGGATAAATATATTCCTGCATTGCTTTACTGTGTGTTTTCCTAAACTAACAAAAGTATCTCTCTGGCATTGCGTTTACATCTTCCCCAAGTGTTTGAACATTTATAGTTACTGTCAACAAAGCCAGAATATTGTAAGGTTTTCTATGGCGCTGAAGCCACTTTCAAAATACTGTGACCAACACTTTGATAGTTAGATCTTTCTAGTCTTTTATTTTTAACCAGCAGTCCTGGTTTCTCTGCACATTATTGCATGCTCACTCATGTGTCTTATCTCATGAGCTTTCAGGCTCCCCCTGCAGTAGTTTATGCCCTGGACAATGCCACTGCTGGTAAATTGCATACCGATTACCTCTTTCCCAGATAGGTCTTTTAATCTGAACTTTAGGAGAAAAGAATAATCAGTAAGACAATGGCTTGTGCTGCAAAAACTTCCTGCATGTCTCAGAAAACCTTTCTGGGGCTTATCTTCTCCATAACACTTCTTCCTACCTGAAGTTTCAGGTACTTGAATTTTGACAAGAAAATAATTCCTTTCTGTATCCTCTGGCATATTTTTTTTAAATTAGTTGCCTTTCTAATACTTATTAGATAAATTGGTAATGAAGAGACATAGAGTCCTTATCTTTTAAATTAATTGAGGTAGGGATAGGGGTGTGGCTCAAGTCCTGCCTATTAAGTGCAAAACTCTCAGCTCAAACTCCAGTACTGACAAAAGATAATTAACTGAATTATACTATTTGTCAATATGATAACATTTGTCCTGTTACACTGTATATAAGATCCGACACAAAATAAGCCCAAATCCCAAATTCTTATGAAAGTTTTATAAATAGGAGGTTTCACTATAAGTGTTTTAATATGAACAATGACCGACCACATAAATAAACCAATCACCAAAGAATCGCTAGTAGCATATTTTTCAGAAGCCAATCCCTCTGTATGGAACCTATAAAGCTGGGGCTGCCAACCTGTATTATGCAAGCTCCTAGGACATAGGAAAGGATGTTATATGACCATGCAATGGATTGGGGGGAAAGACTTGTTGGAATGCATGTAGGGGACATGAGACCATTGGTCATACAACACTGGTAAAAGAGCCCCTGCTTAGAGAAATCCACCCACATGTCCTCATCCACTCTTTTGACCACAAAAGTACTCTTAGTGTTCTTATGAGAAGGCTGCCTCCCACCTTCCATTTTCCCATCCTCAGTTCACAAAGAATAACCAACAATATCCTTGACTTTGTGGAGCTGGTAAGTGAATGCTAAGTGTCCACTTTACAAGGGCTTCTCAAGAGGGAAGAAGTGTTGGAGGTAGCACTGATACTTAGTTTCCAGGGATTGTGCAGAAAGAAAAAGCAATCAGGTGTCTCTCTTCTCTATGTGGAACCAGAACTGGCAGGAGAGTCTTCATTCCTGTGTCTCATCACCAGGATATTAAAGACACCATGGGGCAGATCCGAAGCCTGAATATGTATTGCCATTTTGCAAATGGCATCGGTGAACCTAAGTACATGCCTGTACAATCATGGGAAATTTTGACCCAGACTCTGGTAGAAGCCCTGGAAAATCACAATGAAGTCAACACTGTGATGGACTTGGTTCTCTTTGAGGATGCCATGTGCCACATGTAAGTGTGCTTCTCTTCTTGCCTTTCCTTGGTTGCTTCCCTTTCCCAGTGTCAGGGGTCTCATTTGGCTCTTGCAGGACACTTTCGTAAAGCCAGAAAAACAGCTACTGTTTCTCCTGTGAAGGCCAAGATGGCTGTTGGCAGAGCAGCAGTTTTAGTTTCTTGGCCCTAGGAGGGCAGAACAGTACTGAACTCAGGCAGAGCTGGATTTATTTCCATGTCTGCAATTAACTATAGCTGGGCACATCACAGTGACACCAATGGGAGATTTGAGATCATTAGAGACACCAGAACAGATCAGAACCTCAAATCCCATCCACACACTGGTCAAAGGAACAATTTAAAAAATGACATAGGGTTTTTGTTCCAGTGCACACATATTTCAAAACTTAAATATCCTGTTGAATTATTATTGCTGCCCAGTGAATCACAAAGAGTAATAATGAAGCTTCCCAGATAATTTATACTCACACCAATGCTGTCCCTATCCTACTCTTTACATTCCCCAACTTCAATCCCATTTACCAACTCCCAGCACTCCAAAACCCCTCTACCTTGCCTGTCACTTCCATGAAGCAAAATCTCCTTCAGCTTCAGCTTCATTGAACTTTCCCTTCTATGCCAATTCTAACTGAAACCTGACTGGCCCCTAAGTTGAGGGAATCTGCTTTTCCTTCCCTATCCATCCTATGTACCCCAGGGCCTAGAGAGAGGGTAAGGCTTCTCCTTACTTCCAACCCCACCCCAGTGACACATTCAAGTCATTTCTCCTTTTATCCTTCACAAACCCAGGTTCTTTTAAAGGATAGCAATCCACCTTTCCTATTCCTGCTCTCTCCTTGTCACTCTCAACTGCTGAAGTCCAGTCACTCCCCATCATTCAGCAAGGGCTTAGCACTTAGACCATCTTCCTCTCTTCACTCATGATTTTACCCATTCCTGGCATCTAACACCTGGTCTTTCTGTTCTGTGACCTCCATAGCTCCTGGGATCTTGTCTTCCACCTTGCTTCAGCCCCTCACTCACAGATTCCTATCCCAAAACATCTATCATCAATAATGGTCCAACCTCCAAAATATGAATTTGGAGGATGGGATATTTGAACATGCCACTCTCTGACTTATACTCCTACCTTTCCACTCACATGCTCTAGTCTCTTATTTCAGCTCTTCTTAAACTACATCAAGACTTCATTTAATGGGCCAGCTACCTTCTCAAGTTGCTCTATCCATCCCCCTACCATGTCTCCATTTTCATCTTTATCTGTTGACTACCCTTGTAAAGATTTATATTTACATAAATATTTCTCCTCCTGTTTAAGAACTACAAATACTTCTACATTAGTCTTGGAATTGAGCCTTTGTCCTTTCAGGATGAATTTAATTTGGGAGAATAGCTAGTGATTCAGTCAATGTGATTTCCAACATGGGTGATCAAAGTGACTAATATTGTTTTAAGAAAAAAATAAGGTCTGGCTAGGAGAACTGGCTTTTCTCCTGAGGCCCATAAGCAGACTCTGCTGATAGTTTCATGAGAGGACTGAATCACTTTTAGCAATGGAAAAACAATGGAAAAGTGAACTGCCTTGAGCAAGATGGTTCTGGAGAATAACTTGTATTTGGATGTATACTTCCTGTACATTTGTTTGGAAATATCAATATCCCATTACTTTATCCATGTACTGTCCTTCCATCCCCTCCCTGGGGACTCATTGAAGCTGGTTGCATTTACTGGCCAGCCAGAGCAGAATTTGTCTTAGACCACAGGAAGGAAGGTAAATGATAAAGTGAGAAGCAGATAAACCAGAGGTGTCTGGAGATTCTACATCTTCCCCTCGCTGCACACAGTGCCTGAGACAGAGTTCGAAGGTCACTCCAGGAAGATCTCACCTTCTAAGACCTATGGTGGGAATGGACAGGGTGGAAAGGAAAGAGCCTGTATGTGCCTTACCAGGAACCCATAGGTCCTGTGTCCCAGGAGCAAGGCAAGAGCTGACTTTGATGGTACAGTAAGGAATATGCTCATTGTGACTTCATCTGGCTATTTTGTTCTCACCACTTGAGTACTTAACATTTTTTTAAGTCTAATTGCCCTACACCTTCTCCCAGTTTTGCTTCTTTTCCTTTCTCCTGCTTTGATGCTGAGCTCAATACTGGAATACTGTGTAGTTGCTAGGGACATGAGTTCTAGAGATTGAGTCAAACCAAGTTCAAAGCCACAGTCTTCCCTGAGTTGTTGGGGGTGCTTTAGGAAGGACACTTTGTTTCCCCAAGCCTCAGTTTCCTCATTCAGAAAATGAAGATAATAAGAGTGTCTAGGTCACGGTGCAGTGCTATGTGAAGTGCTCTTGCTCTGAACAGTCACAGGCATTGCTAAGATGTTTCTCTTTGTGCTACTGCTTTCTTTCCTTACTAGAACCATTTTTCTCTCTCACTGACTTCCTTCACCATTTCAGTAGATTCTGTTCTGCTTTTTCTTAAAGCCTTAAATTAGATCTTTTCACTCACTTTTGAACTAATCTTCATTCATCATTTTCTTTGCCTCTCTTTGTTTTACATTCTCTTGCATATTTTCAGCCTGCTCTTTTTTCCTCTTAGAATTGCTTAGCAGTCATTAAGCAAACAGAACTTCAGATGTACTTCTTTTGTGCCCCAAGTGTCTTATTAGTCCTCCAGAGGTTGTGTGTGCATGTGTGTGTGTGTGTGTGCCGTGCGTGCCTTTAGTCTTCAATAAAACATCTTCCTCCAGCTGTGCCATGGTGCATCTTCAGCTTTTGTTTTTAATCTCGTAGAAATTCAGTGATGGGCTTAACATAGTCTGCCTTGGTTTTCTGGCCCAGGACCCTTTAGAATATTGATCTTCTTTTTAAATTTTGTAATTTAAATGCAGAGTCCTTTGCCCTCATCAGAGGTTGTTAATGAAGCCCCAGCTGGAGTCTAATGCTGACGGTTGCAGACTTAACCATTCTTCTTTGGAAACTTCATCACTAAGGGTGCATTTCCCATTTCGATATTGAATAACATGGGCCATGCTAAGCTGAGTTCAGGCCTTCTGGAATAGGAGTGGGTGTTGGTCAACCCAGAGAACCCAGCTGGACTCCAGCTCTTCCTCCTAGCTTGCCTCTCTTCTCCACTAAAATATTCCTGCCCCACCTTTTCTGAATCAGAAATGAAGGCCTAGATGTCTTAGGACACTAGTTTCTCCCCTTATCAGGCACCAGTACAGACACAAAGCAAATAATCTATTGCACACAATGCAAAGAATGATTACATACATTTCCCCAAATGTGATGCTGAGTATAAGGCATGTATTGTTCTATTTCAATTTAATAAAGTTAAATTGGATATCTTCAATGTGCTAACACTATAATGGATATAAAATGAATAGACACACTCTTAAGACATCTGGAAATGGTGGTTTAATAAGAAAGCAAGAGAAGGGTAAATTCAGCTGGTAAAGACAGAGTATAAATTTCACAATTAAATAATTACAGTGAAAAAGTAAAATAAAAGAACCAAGTACAGGTCAATAAATAACCCTTGAATATTTAGATTGGTAAATTTAACTATATAAAATTCACTGAGATGTACACCTAAAAAATCTCTAAGAAAACTAAAAAGTGAATGTAAAAAATTGGAAGGTAATTCAAAACATACGCAAAAGGATCCTATAAATCTAAAAGCACACTTAAATTGAAAAGTAGGCAAAGGGCGTGAGAAAAGAAAATTCACAAAAGAAAACTGTATGAAAAATGTTCAGTTCCCTAGAAAACAAATAAGTAAAATTAAAAGCATAATATTTTCAACCATTAAACTGGCAATGATTTATACACACGCATACACATATGTAAAGATGGGGTCCAGGCCCAATTACATGCTACCCATGGTATGTTGACACACCCACACTTGTACCAGAATTTCCTTCCCAACAGAAGGGAGACGAGGCAATGGGAACCTATGAACACTTAGCTTTGTTACTAATTACGACCAAGTCTTCTGCACATGCAAGACATTTGCAATAGCAAGAAAATTCCTGCTACAGGAAGCTCCATATGAGCCCTGTAACCTCAAACACTCATATTTTGTAACATGTCAAACTCCACCCTCCAATGCAACTCCACAGTCCTTCCTCAAAACTGAGGTTAGTTCGACCTTGAGTTGTTCCATTGCTGTATTTGAATGTGCAGTTTCTAATTACATCATTAACCAAAGGCAGGAATATAGGAGTGGAATCTGGGTGATTAAATTTCAAATGCTCTATTTGGTTGAATTCTTATTCTCATACTGTTTTTGTCCCATGATTGCCAACATCTGACTTCACTGACTTACCTTCTTAATCTAACAAATACAAACCAATATGTCCTCATTCTCCAACATAACAGATTTACTTTTTGACCAGTTCTAACTAAAATAAGAAAAGTTGATACCACCATACAGGGGTTGGGGGACAGTATTTCTTCAGTATATATCAAGAGCTGTAAAAAGTTGTCTTACTGTTTGATGCAGCAATTTAAATTCTAGAAACTTATCCCAAGGAAATAATTAGAGATAGAAACAAAAAACATTTTATCTCATTATTTATAATGGAAAATGTTAGAAAGAGTCTAGGCATCCAACAGCAGGCTATCACAGACAAGCAACTTATTTCTATTATCAATACAATGTTGACATTCTGTACAATATTATTCCACCATTGAAAGCATGGCTTAGGAGATTATTTGATCACATAGGAAATAATCACAGTAATGCTAAATGAAAACTGGTCTCAAACTGGGCCTCAGTGGCTCACATCTGTAATCCTAACTACTTGGAAGGCTGAGATTGGGAAGATCAAGGATCGAGGCCAGCCTGAGCAATTAGTTCATGAGACCCATCTCCAAAGTAACCAGAGCAAAATGGATTGGCAGTGTAGCTCAAGCGACAGAGTGCCTGATTTGCAAGTGCAAAGCCCTGAGTTCAAATCCCAGTCTCACCAAAAAAATAAATAAGTGATGGTCTCAAAACAGTATGTCAAAGGACTGAGTGTGTGACTAAAAGTAAAGTACTAACTTAGCATTTGTGAAGACCTGGATTTGATTCTCAGCACTACAAAACAAAACTACTATGCTCAGGATATAAGGTGAACTCAATTTTTAAAAATCGATGGGATAGAAATATATTGACTTTGTGCAGGTGTAATAAATGTATAATACAGAAATATATTTATAAACCCTAGAAAAAATCTTGGAGGCCGTATAATTAATGTCAATAGTATTTATTGCTAGATAGAATGTTGAACTTTTAATGCATTTTATCCATTTTGTACAATGAGTAGCCACTGCTTTTAAGATGAAAAATGAAATGGAGTGGGATTATTTTTTTTACAAATAATGTAGCACATTACCTAAAATACACTGCTGACAGGGCTGTAAGAAAAGGATGGCAGTATATGCTGGAAAAGAGGCTGAGGACAGCTCCATGGGATGGCATTTGAGGAAGCCCTCACAGGACAGGAGAAGTGGCCTCCTTTGGAAGGGGTGGTCTCAGCCCAGCAGGAGGCCTGCACTCTCCCCACTCCTCAATGCTGGATGGGAAAATGGTACCAAGAGTGGTGAAAAGTGGGGCTTAGAAGGGGAGAATCTGAAGCCAAGGATGTGTGTGTCTTGTTGTCTGACAATAAGAATGTGTGAATACTCATTACAAGAGCATCGGTGCCCAGGAAGGATTAGAGGAGGAAAAGAAAAGAGCTATGTCAGAACTCTGTTCTTATCTGCTGACTTGTTCCTTTTCTTTCCTAAGAGTTCTTGCCTTGTCTGCCAACCTTCCCTCAATAGTATATTTTCTATTCTTCTCTTTTTCCTGCCCCATTTTTGTGCCCCAAAGCACAAATAAGTGAGGCAAAGTGAAGTGAAGAAGTGAGGCAAAGCCAGGCTCAGCCAGAGAGAAGAAGACAGTAATCCTGAGTCCCTCTCCACGGCCATCATGACCCCACCAATCCTGTCTGCCTGCCTTAGGCCCTTCCTCCACACTGACTGGTTCTGGCTTCAGGCAAAGCAATGGCTTCTTACTACTAGAGTAAGAAGGCAAAGCAAGAACTGGAGACAATTTAAGTAGTGTCCCAGAGCTCAGTCCGTGGAGGTACTTCCAAGGAAGGCTCCTGTTCCTACTCCAACCATTATACCATATGTGGTTCTCACCATGAAAAGTCTGATTAAGGCATCGTGCCTTGGCTTCCTTCTCTAGCTGCCATATCAGTCGCATCTTGGAGTCCCCACGGGGAAATGCTCTGCTGGTTGGTGTAGGTGGGAGTGGTAAGCAGAGTCTGACAAGGCTGGCAGCTTTCATCAGCTCCATGGATGTATTCCAGATCACACTGCGCAAGGATTACCAGATCCCTGACTTCAAGGTAAGAAGGACACCTATGAGGGGGAAGAAACTTTGACTCTCGCAACTGCCCACAAGTCCCTGTCATTCTTCAATGGTTCTCCAGTTCCCCTGTCTATAAGCTCCTCCAGTTGTCCATTTTTGTCTTAGTTTCTGGGCTGGTGACATGAAGAGCTCTTTCCTAATTGGACTTATCCTGAAACAGTGACCTTTCCAAGGTCTGTCTTTGTGAGACCTCAGTTGCCTTTCTTATAATGGTGGAAGGTCAACACTTACCCAAATCTGTATCAAGTTTAGCACACAGTTTGCTAGCTGCTGAAGTAGACAGGAGGAATTCCAACAGTCTGCCCAAGTTTTATTGGGCAAGTTCATATTTGAAAAGATGGACTCAGTAACCATTGGCCTCTGGGACCTGCTGTGAAATTTTCTGGTTTTAGATGGCAACATTTAGGAGCCATGATGTTCTAGAAAGTAAAGAATGGCATTATTACAACCTTCAAATGTCATTTATCCAATTCCCTTCATTGGCCTTTGTCCATGGCTACAAGCCAGTGACAGGAGGAAGTCACAGTGTAATTTCCATCAGGATTTGCCCCTGATGTTCATGGGAGAACTCCAGCCAGCACTAAGCTAGACCTACCCACCTCACTTAATACTCCTAGCCTGTGAGGGGAGAGTAGATCTCACTTCTGTTCTGAAACCACAGCTAAGTTACTCAATGCTGATTATATCCAAGGTCATACATCAAGTTCACATTACATCTTTCTTTAGTGCTTCCAAAAAAGACAAGACAAGATAGTGTGATGGGAAATATGCATTTACAGAAAGATATAAAACAGTACTTCTACACAAAAACCTAGGACTCACTGGGGATCGTCCAATAATGCTGATGCCTGCATCCCACCCCCAGCTGTTCAGATTTAACTAGCCTAGGGAACAGCCTGTGCATCAAAGTTGTTCAAAGCATCCCCCAGATGATTCTAATGAGAATAGAGCAACACTGTCTCAGATCATTCTGTAAAAACATACGGTGAGAGTCATTGATCTGAAAGGAAGTGTATTATCTTTAAAGGTAAGTTATTTGGACTCTACAGAAACACTGAAAAAAGAGAAAGTATGAGGGTGTTAGGAAATGAGCTCTGAGTGGTGCTGGTAGAACAGAGCAAGGTAAGGGAAAATGCAGAGCTTTGTGAAGGTGATACAGCAGAGAAACCAAAACTGACTAAGCTGAATAAATTCAGGGCTTGGTATCCTAGCAAAAACTTCATCCACCTGCAGCTTTGAATGGGTGTGATTTCCTGCCGTGATTGTGTGCATGTGTTCCTCAATACATTTTTTCAACAAGCCTTTTACTAGAGCTAGTCATAAGAACACAAGACACTGTTAGCATAACATAAATTCATGCCCAGGCAGGTAGCACCATGTACATGACTCCTCTGTCAAGACCAAGAGCAATTGCTTGCTCTCTGGAGCAGGAGACTCACTTGCATGAAGACATAAGTAAAATACATGAACAAGAACCACCTCTGTCCTTTGGAAAGAACATCTGTTACTTCTTTGCACAAGCTGGTGCAGGAGTCACTGTGATTGTTTGAACTAAAGGTCCTCACTATTCAGTTCTACTTGCCCATCTCCACTTGCACTGAGACCTGTAAAAGAGACATATTTTCCTGTCTGTCCATGCAAAATGGCACTCCTCCCCACCTCCCATTGTCATCTTGCTTTATTTCCACTAAAGATTTGAAAATGGTTCTATTCCTAAAGAGTGGATTGAGGATCTCTTTCAAAAGTCCTTCTCAAAGATTTCTGATTTTGCTGTTCCTTCAGGTGGACCTTGCCAACCTGTGCATGAAAGCTGGGGTGAAGAACCTCAGCACAGTGTTTCTCATGGCTGATGCCCAAGTGGCTGATGAGAGGTTCCTTGTGCTCATCAATGACCTTTTGGCATCTGGTAAGAGACTTTGCACTTCAGTATCTCCAATAGAATCAGAGGAATTCAAAGGTGGAAATGAAGTCCAAGGTTAGAAAAGCTGGGTCACAGAAATGAGAGAGAACTGATACAGCAAAGTGCTGGTTTGCTAAAGCCCTTCCTAGGTCTGGTTCTGTGCCAGCTGTCCTGACTCTTAGATTCTACTTTCACTGCAAATCAGACAATAATCTTGAGGTTCTCTTAGTGGGACAAGAGCTAGCTGATTATGGAAACAAGAGCAAGTTTAGCACCTGAGGGCCTGCTGAGCCCTTTTGTGCTCTCTCCATAACCGTGACAAAAAGAAACCAGAATGTATATAGACTTCAAGTAGATTATGCATTGGCAGAAGTTAAACACAAGGGAGAATATGCACACAAAACACACAGTAGGGCAAGATTGGGTTTCCAACTTAATTAACCAAGGATTCAGAAAATTGTGGAAGCAGGAACAGATGTAGAGTATCTGCACAGTTTTCCTTGGTCCCCAGTCAGTGGCCTTGACAGGAATTAAGTGCCCTGTAATGCTGTCAGTGCAAGGCTGAACTTTAATGGAAGCTCAATTCTTGTTACTTAATTGTCCTCAGTATTTGAGGACTTATGTCAACTATTCCAAAAATTTATAGACACACACACATATTTATTTAAGGCACTAGAGTACATAAAAATACAATATAGTGCATAAATTATGTGTGTATTTATGTCAATTAAAGGGAAAACATGCTTTCCTGAGTCTTAAACCAAATGCAGTCTCATCAAAACCATCTCTTCACCTGGGTAAAGAAAACTCAGTGTACAAATGTTCCTGAACAAAGTTCCTGCCTTCAGATTCCCTGCAGTTCACAAACCCATTTCAAAACACTCTTTAGTTTAAAAAATTGCAAGGACCATGATCAGAAGTACATTTCCCCATCATCTATCCCATGTCATAAGTGATATGTTTTGGATTTGCTAAGAACTTCTCTGCTTCAGAATTATTGTGTGCTTCGTATTTTCTGGCATTGCACCCCGTACCATTTTGCTGTCATTCCATGAAGAGCCGCTTTCCCCAGGAGCAGACCGGGCACTAACAGGTCCTCTAATGGCTGATTTCTAACGAGGAGCCGTGCCTCAGGTTCCTTATTATGCTGGCTACTAGTGTTATACTGATGCCACACTCAATCCTTCCCAACCTATCCTACTTAAGGTAACATTATATCTAGGAGTTTTCCTCCTCCAATACACCAAATTGTTCCCTTCCAAAATACTCTGTATTTTCTGTAATATCTCATCATGGTAGTTAACCTGTAATACTGCTGTACCTTTTGTTATTTTATTAAATGAGAGGGCTCCAATTGGTCTCCCACCCTGAAGCTATGCTGAAGCCTAATTTCTAAAACAACCAAGTGAATAAAACTGTGCTTCTAAAGACACAGCTTTGGGGATGTCAGGCATGTTGCCAGTCACCCTGTATTTCCCTGGCTTCAATCCAGCCAGGTCACCTTCTCCTGAAATAATGTCTGAGACACAGAAATTGTTATACTTTTGCCAATTTGAAGTTTTATTCCTCAATTAAGTGACTTTAATTTTTCATTTAGAGGACACTTTTTTAAGTGCAAATGAATTTCTGAAGGCTTTCCCAGTGAAAACTTAATGTAATCAGCCTGCTCCAAAGTCATGGTGTTTCAGATTCACAGTTCTCATTTGAGTCTTCTATATGTATATATTTTTAAAAAGCATGATTTGAGTACATATGTTAAGGTGGAGATCCAGTTAAAATTAACACTTTTTTCCCCAAATGGTCTTCCCTTTTTTAACTTAACCATTTCAACAGGGAGGATTAGAGTGTATCTTAGTTTTAATTTTCCCTTTCAAATAATTAATTTCTGACCAGAAAATAACCAAATGCCAGTCCAGCCAAGGCTGTAGGGATTTCTCAGAATCTCACTATCTCTGTAATTTTTTCAGTTGTATGGGGTTATGCAATTCCTCCACCCTTGGAAAGCACAGTAGTGAGTAGGAAACTATACCCAGTTTCCCTCATTACTTTATAATTATCTGCAAGTCCTGGTTAGACTGCCTATAAAGGTACACTGAGTGAATGCTACTGATGCAACTTTCCCCCAAAAATGTCTCCCTCACATCTTTAGCCTGCTGTTTTATCCCTTGGTATTCTGACACCATTGCCCAAAAACCCCACAATGATATTTGTCTTCTGAATCCTTCTTCTGATATCAACTACACATTTTAGAACCCATCTTTATACAAGTTGCATTTTAGGTGGGTTACAGTTTGACAAGAAGAAATCCTATACACAAAGTAAAAAAAAGATTAAATTCCTGGCTTTAAAATTCACCAAAAGATACATAATTGTATTTAGAGTAGGGTGACCACCTAGATCAGAAACAGACAAAGCATATCTTTGAGCCACTTCCCTTTTCTACCAGAGTCTGAAGTGGGGTCATTTAGCCACTAAGGAGACTGTGCTTTAATATAGACCCTTGCTGGATCTGAAAAGCTCAACCCTTGCTTTCTCCTTATTGACATGTATAATAGTTTCTGAAGAATGTACACTGACCATCTAACTTGGGTATTTTAGGAATTCTTACCAAAGTTGTTTTCTTGGTCTTTGATCCAAATTCAACAAGTCTCCATCCTAATCTAGAGGGAAAAATAAGAATCAGCCCCTGGATTTCCAGGACAGCACCTCTATCTCCATCTTTCCAGCCTCTCAGAAAGTCGTTTTACTGCAGTAAATTAGTCAGCCAATTAGCACTAACCAGCTAAAAAGAACTAGTCTACTCCAAGTATGATGTCTTTTCCTCTCCTAACTCAGATTTCATACTTCATTTTATTTAGGATCTTATGTTAGAATTTTCCTTTTTTTGAGGGGGGGGTTGTTTTTGGAGGGACTGGGACTTGAACTCAGGGTTTAGTACTAGCAAAGCAGGTACTCTACCATTTGAGCCATGCCTCCAGTCCATTTTGCTCCAATTATTTTTGGAGATGGGTTCTCAATAACTATTTTCCCCAGCTGGCTTTGAGCCACAATGCTCCCAATCTCAGCTTCCCAAATAGTTAGGTTTACAGGCCATAGTTTGTCTCCTCAGCATCCAGCATTTTGTAGATAAAAAGCAAAAAAAAAGAGATAAGTCCTACATCTTTGATGAAAGGTAAACGATGTAGACTATACTATTACAAATAACCTAAGACCAAAGAAAATCCAAAGAGGGCTCTAACATATTAACAGATAATCAGAGATCAAGGAGAAAGAAATCCAGAACACTGCAGGCAGGTCCAAGTATGGTTCTATTTAAGCACTTCTTTTAAAAAATTTTCCCTGAACTCCTAAACTCCCAAAGCATGCTAAGTATCATTCATCTCTCTAGCAGTTTTCTCTGATCCCTGTTCTCATCAAAAGAGGCTATCCCATTAGGAAGACCTTGATTCTGACAAGTTACAGTACAGGGTGTTTTATACTCATGCTATTAAATATCTTAAAGAATGGAAATTAAATCAAGTTTGTCCAATTAAGGCAAGAAAGTAAATGATCACTTTCATGAATTCATTTGACTTTTTAAATGATTAAGGCTAATTGAAATAAAACTCTTCTTAGACGCTTGACAGGGTCAGTGCTGTCAAACCAAGTTTCCTATAGATTCAGTATTAGTTCACGGAAGTGCAGAGATTTCATGGATGACAGGATCATAATTTCAGACACTCTGACTAGGTAAAGACCATTTGCCAAATCACCCATGTTGAGGACCACAACCACATCCCCAAGGAAGGAAGTTGGGTAGGGTGGCCCCAAGAACTTCTTCTATCTCTATTCCTGTACCTCTTCCATGAATTGCATACTTAAGTATTTTGCCATTTGGTTCTTGGACTTTGTCTTTTTCCTATGGATTTATAGGAGCTATTTTTATATTTTGGATATTAACCCTTTCTCATAGTGTGGGTTAAAAGTATCATTTTGAAGTCTTTGACTTTTTTCATACCAATTTAGTTTTGATGTTTTAAAAGCTAGCAGTATTTTTTATGGTTTTTGTATTCTGTTTTAGATATTTTGTCCTATCCCAATGCCATAAAAATAATTGCCTGTGTTTTAAGTTATTGCTGTTTTTCTCTTCAGATTTATGTCTTTAATCACTTGGAATTTATTTTTATACAGTAATTTAATTGTATTTGTGATGCTAATATTGAATTATCCTAGCATCACTTGTTTATCAGTCTGTCCCTTTGTTATATCATTTTCCTTTTTGTATCTGGGTCAGTTTCTAGGTGTTTCATTTTTGCTCCACTTATTTACCCCAATACCAACTTCACATTGCTTTAAAGATCATAGTTTTATAAGGAGACTTGAACTCTGGTAAGGCAAGTCCCTCCTGGTTCTTCCTCAGGAATGTCATTCTTTACCCTTTACTCTCCATATACATATACATACACATACTCATACACATACACATATACATATTCTTGTCAGGATTAAAAAATATGCCTACTTGATTTTTTAAATGGAATTGCATCTTTGTGATAGTGGTGTTACTATACCAATCCCCACAATTATCTTCACCTATTAATGGTTTCATTTATTCCTTTCAATAGTAGGCTATGGTTTTTACATTAAAATCTTGTATACAGTATTACTTAGTTGCCTATGGTTTTTGTTGGTATTCTAAATGATGACTTAAATTAACTCTTTTTTTAGCTGGAGAGCAGGAATGTGATTCAATTTCCAGTATTGATTTTGTATTCAGTAAACTTGTTATTGAACACTTATGAGTTCTGATTCTTTGCTTGAATATTCCTTTAGATTTTCTATGTATAAAATTAGATTTCAAACAATAATATATATTGCTTTCTTAACTATCCTCACATATTTTTCCTTAGCTTTTTTCACATTCTGAGACCTCATGTATAATGTTCAATAGAAAACATAACATGTTTGTCTTGATATTGATTTAAAAGGGAATATTTAGTATTTTCTTATTAGCTAAGATGTTTGCTTTGGATATGGGATTGAGAGCTATTATCAGGTTAACAGAAATCTTATTTATTCTGAATTTGCTAACAGTTTTTTTTAGAAATTCTGTGCATCTGTTTCAATGGTTTTATTATTTTACTTCTTTAATTTGTCAATGTGGTGAATTATTTTTATAGTTTTTTTATTTTGTAACTATCTTTGCATTTCTGGAAAAAACTTTATTTAGTTATCATATGATTATTATATAGTTAATTAGGATTTTTGAATTTTATTCATTAATGAGATTGAGCATATAATTTTACTCTCAGATACTGTCTCATTAAAGCAATGTTTCAGTTCTTGATAATTTGGTAAAGAAAAACAGTAATTAAGCTTAATTTAAATATACAGATCTGCTATTATGAGTGATAATAATAATCAGGTTTGCCAGCTTAATTTGTTTAAACAAAAAATAACTAAGCAGCTTGATGTCTGTGTCCATTAATGTTTTTTCATTATTATTGTTGTAGTGGGGGTACATTGTGACATTTACAAAAGTTCTTACAATATATCATAGTTGAATTCACCCCCTCCATCATTCTTTCTTATCCCTCTTCCCCCCATTCCTAGAATGGTTTCAACAGGTCTCATATTTCCATTTTCATACATACGTGCCTAATATTTCCACCACATTCACCCTTCTACACCCCTTCCTTATATCTGCTCCCTTCCCACTGGTCCCAACCCCTCCAACAGGACCTGTTCTACCTTCCTGTTCTCCCTTTTTGAAATAAGATGTTTTCATTTGTATAAGATAGTTACATAGTTCATTGTGATATATATGTATTATAAGCCAAATAATACATATAATACATATAAGATATGTATTATAACCCAAATTGGTTCATCTCCTCTATTTTTCTCCTTTCTACCTTAGTTCTCTTCTATGGTGATTTCAACATTGTATATGAATACCACATTTTCTTAATCCATTCATCAGTAGTGGGGCATCTAGGCTGTTTCTGTAGCTTACAAGTGACGTTGCACATCTCTTCATATATCCGAGACATGTTTATTTCCTTTACTGTGAACTCCCATTTCAAAGCCTCCATCTATCTTTCTATTGATTTACTGATCTTTATTTGTAGAGAATTTCTTTACATAACCATTTAACAACAATCTGAGTTAACATATATTTTCTTAATTATTTTCCTTGGGTTTCATTATGGTTATTTTTCTTTGCCTGTGGTGTTTTCACCATGACATTTTTCTTTATTTTCATGTTGTCAAATGTAACCATTTTTGTACATCAGTTTTTACTTTTTTTTTTTTTTGGCAGTACTGGGGTTTGAACTCAGAGCCTTGCACTTGCTAGGTAGGTGCTCTACCACTTGAGCCACACCCCCAGCCCATTTTTGTACATCAGATTTATCTTTCTTTTAAAGTAGGTCGAGTTATCGTTATAAAGTCCCTCCCCACTCAGATGTTATAAGCATTTCCCTCAATTTTTCTATTATTTTCATGGTTATTCTTATAGATAAATCACTGGTCCATTTAAAATTTACCCTGGTATACAGTATAAGATAAGGATCCAACCAAAATTTTTAGATCCAGTTTTACAAATATCATATACTGAATTATTGAATAGTTTATCTTTTCCCCACCAATTTAAGATATTATACTTATCATACACTAAATTCCTTGTAATCCTATAGGAAGTGACTGCTCACTCTTCTTAAATACATGCATTTATCTATATGGTTCTTTATGGCCCTTTCTACCCAACAGCCTCATAGATAAATATATTTGATAATTTCCTACTAAATAGTAAGGTCCTTAGGGATACAGCTTTCAGAACTACTATCCTCTACAGTGATTAGTAAATAAATGTTTTGAACAAAAACAGAAAAGACCATTGAAGTGTTATAAATGATCTACACCAGTTCAAGAAGGTACTCTACACCCCATTCCACTCATTAATGTACTTATTCCCCTGTCTGTGTTTGAGGTATTAATGGTGTCTGTCCAGTTTCACCAGCAAGCAAGGTTGAACTTGCTGTAAAACTCGAGAGTCCTGTGTCCCAAAGCAAGATAGTCCCATATCTGATTACATCATGTACGAAGAGGCCAATGCTACCATTCTATGCTCCATTTATTCCCAGGAGAGATCCCAGATCTCTACTCTGATGATGAAGTTGAAAACATCATAAGTAATGTGAAGAATGAGGTCAAGAGTCAAGGTCTGGTTGTTAACAGAGAGAACTGCTGGAAGTTCTTTATAGATCGGGTCCGACGACAACTGAAGGTAAAGAAAGATTTACTGATTTGCATAGGCAGAGATGGTTCATGGGAGCATCTGCTGATGTTTTGGACACATCTGTCCTTATGAACCATCTTAGGAATAGGTGGTGAGGGTGCCGTGCCCTTCTCACCTGAGCACCATCACAAGGATGTCATTTTTAGCTGCTTTATGAACAGTGCCCTCTCATGCATTGCTTGGTCCAGAATTCTTGAGCTCTTGGCTGGAAGAGTTGGCTGGTATGGACAGATTTTGTCTCTGTTGTATGTGTTTCTCAATTTTTGGAGTGATCAAACCATGTGTGCCTTCAAAAGCCATGTGTTTTCTCTCATATGTGGAATATAGATCTAATACAAATACAGAAATATTATGAAGTACAGGTTACCCTAAGGGGAGGTCACATATGAGAGAGAGAGGATAAGAGAAGGAAGTTAGGAAGGCAAATATGGTTTATGTACTTCCTATACAAGAATGAATACAGAATTGTTAAACCTATTTAAATCACTATATAAGGAGCTTAAGGTAGAAAGAAGAAAATAGAGGCAATGAACCAATTCGGGTTATAATACATATTATATATGGAAATGTCACAATGAAACACCCTGTATAGCTATCTTAAACAAACAAAAATGTCATTTTTTTCTTTTAAAAATCAGAGAACAGGAGGGTGGAACAGGTCCTGCCTGGGGGGAGAGGGCGGTACCAGTACAAGGGGGAAAGATGTGGGGAAAGTATGTGGGAGGGTGAATATAGTGCAAATACCACGTATACATGTTGTAAATGAAAAAATGAGACCTGTTGAAACTACTCCAGGAATGGGGAGGAGATAAAGGAGAATGATGGAGGGAGTGAATTCAACTATGATATATTTGATACAGTGTAAGAACTTTTGTAAATGCCACAATGTACCCTCAGCATTAAAAAAAAAAATCATGTGTGCCTTGCTGCCAGTGTTTCTCTGATACCTTGTTGCTTCTCCCCACCCTCTGGCTTCTCAGGTGACTCTCTGCTTCTCCCCTGTGGGGAACAAGCTGAGGGTCCGCAGCAGGAAGTTCCCAGCCATTGTGAACTGCACGGCCATTGACTGGTTCCATGAGTGGCCTAAGCAGGCACTGGAGTCTGTCAGCCTCCGCTTCTTGCAGAATACAGAGGGCATTGAGGTGAGGGGGGAAAGGAGACCCTTCTCAGGATCCTCCCACCTCAGGGCATAAGGGATTCCACGTGCAGATGTCAGGGTTAAAGGCCAGACTTGGATAGAGTTGTGGACCCACAACTTTACACGTGGTGAAACAATGAGTGGGCTGGGAAGTCACCATCTGTCTCCCCTGTGAGATGAACCCATTGTTTCCTGCTCTTTGATTTTAGCCTTCAGTAAAGCAGTCGATTAGCAAGTTTATGGCCTTTGCCCACACAAGTGTTAACGAAACATCCCAGGCTTATCTGAGCAATGAGCAGCGCTACAACTACACAACTCCCAAGTCCTTTCTGGAGTTCATCAGACTGTACCATAGCTTACTGCACAGGAATGGAGAAGAGCTCAAGTCCAAAATGGAGCGGCTTGAGAACGGGCTGCTGAGGCTGCACAGCACCTCTGCCCAGGTGAGTCTCATCCTCTCCCCTTACAGGGCTTTCAGGAAAAGGAGCAGCCCCGTGCAGATGAGGGAATCACAGCCAAAACCCGAAAATCATTTATGGTCATTTATGGGCCCCATGGCACCAGAAAGAGTACCAACATTGGTGCACATCTTCAGCTTCAATCTAGTTTGCTCCATCTCACTAAGGCTGGAATCCCCTGAGGGGCCTCTGTTCTCTTCCTCTTTGCAAACTTTTCCTTTTCCTCTGTTTTCTATTCCTCCCCAATTTACTTCCTTCTGTCATAATCTGTTTTGTGCTGCTATAACAATATTTGACCTGGGGTATTTTATAAAGAAAAGGGATTATGTCATTTACAATTCTGGAAGTTCAAGAGCATGGCCTCAGGAACTTCTTTGCTCTTACTGACAATCTCATGGCCCATGGTGGGAGCATGCACAGAAGAGGGGCTCAGGAGGTACCAGGCTTCTTTGTAACAACCCATTCTCATGGGGACTAATCCAGTCTCATGGATTAGTCTCTCACTCCTGAGAGACAACATTAATCCATTGATAAGGGTAGATCCCTAATCAATGTGACCTAATTACCTTCCAGTTGGCCCCTCCATTTAAAGATATACCACCATACTGGGGGCCAAGCTTTCAGGATGTGAGCCTTTGGGGGATCAACCCACAGTTAAACCATAGCAACTTCCACCCTCAAATCCAAATGAAATGAATGGTGGAGATGGTTTCAAAGTTCTAACAATTTTCTCTTATTTCTTTTGTCTTACTGTATTATCAGTTAATCAGCCATTGCAACTTCATTTCTTCAAAAAATTCTTTCTCATTTCATGCATTTCTTCTAACATTTCTTTTTTTTATTTCCTTTTTTTTTCATTTTTCTTTTATTATTCATATGTGCATACAAGGCTTGGTTCATTTCTCCCCCCTGCCCCCACCCCCTCCCTTACCACCCACTCCCCCCCTGCCTCTCTCCCCTCCCTCAATACCCAGCAGAAACTATTTTGCCCTTATTTCTAATTTTGTTGTAGAGAGAGTATAAGCAATAAAAGGAAGGAACAAGGGTTTTTGCTGGTTGAGATAAGGATAGCTATACAGGGCATTGACTCACATTGATTTCCTGTGCGTGGGTGTTACCTTCTAGGTTAATTCTTTTTGATCTAACCTTTTCTCTAGTACCTGTTCCCCTTTTCCTATTGGCCTCAGTTGCTTTAAGGTATCTGCTTAACATTTCTAAGCAGCCGGCCATCATAAGAAGGCTCGTGTTATCCTGTCCTTCTTAACTTGTTCAATTAATTCTTTCAAGTGGAGAAAGTTTATTTCAGTCGTCTGCTATTCTGCCCTTGAGCATTGAGACAACTCTAGCACCTGCTCCACCTCTGTTCATGCTCATCAAGTACTGTAGTTCCTTCCATGGCTGTTTTTGTTCTTCTTACCAACAGCAGAGCTGGCTGCTCAATAAGGTAGTGAAATTTTAAGAATTTGCACAACTAAACTAATATTCCTCTTGATGTCTAAGCATTTTATTGTCTCAGATTTTTGCCTTTGGAATTGCTCTTTTGAACTGTTTTCTCTTGACTTGTCCCTTCTCCCCACTTCAGTTTCTTGATTCAGAAATATAATGTAGCTAAAGGTCTTAACTTCATGTAGCAGGATGAAGTGGGCCCTTGCCAGCTTTACACATAGGCTTTTTTCCTCTCAGGAAATCCCTCTTCTGTGGTTTTGTTCCTCCACTCTGTCCTCTCCTCTAGGAGGATTGGCTTGCTGGATAACTTCTCCATTCCCCGGATCTATTATGTTTTCAGTCCTGTGGCCATCTCTACCTTCTAGGAGAGCTTTTGAAATTTACCCTCAACAATCCCAATTTAATAGTATGTGATTGCTTCTACTTCATATGCTTTCAATGCAAATTTTAATTATGCTAGTGCATTTTTAATTTTCTAACAGCCCTTCCTCACCTCATCCTTTCCCTCTCAGCACATCCAATTGCTTCTTTACAGAACCTGCTACTCATGATGCCATGTCTTTGTCTGGGTCTGGTAATGGATAATTTTCAAAACTGTGTGTGTTCCTTAACTAGATGGCTGTTCCTTTCCTTTTTTGGAATTACTGTACAGACTTCTCTTTTTTTCTTCTTTACTTTCAGGTAAGATGAGGTCAGTTCAAGCTCAATATGTTATCAGCAAATATGAACATTATCTATGCCACTACTGCCTTTCCATTTCTGTGATGACCAAAGCTCCATCATAGAGCTCCAGTTGAAGGCAGGCAAAGCTGAGGTACACAGATCCCAGGTGGGGTACTAGCAGCTTACCTACCGTGTACCTTTAGTATAGATATGGTAGCATATTTCCTATCAATCACCTTTTCTTTCTCTCAATATCTGAAATAAAAGAAAACAGCATATAATGCATCCCAGAATTCAGTACTACCAGATTTTTGAGACTTCCCACCTCTTCCTTTTTCTTTCTCCCCTCACTACCTTCAGTGCCCTCAGATGTTCTGTACCCCTACCAGCTCCTGCTCTACCCTTGTGTCCTCTGGTAATCACTGTGTAAAGAATGGATGCCAGAAAACAAGGAATGGCAAAGATACTTTGACCTCTCACAGAGCAGAACCCAGTACCCTGTTTTGTGCACATGTTGAGTCTTTGAATAGATAATGAAGAGGGTACAAACATTTGTGTTCCTGATAAGTGACCTCTATTTAACAATGAGAAGCCTGGTTATATCATGAGATAAATTCAGTTCTATGTGTACATGCTTTGTGTAGAATCTTCCCACACTCTGGCATCAAGTTCAGTGTCTGAAACCACCAAGAGCCAGCTTTCTCCTTCGATATTCTCTACTTCAATGAATGGCACTTCTATCTACCCACTTATCTAGGCCAGAAACTAGAGGTTTTCTTAGATTCTCCCCCTTCCCTCACTTCCCACATCTAAGAATTAGCAAGTTTTGTATGTGCTGTACATATCTCTGAAATCTGTCCATCTGCTCTTTCCTCATGTTCGATGTCTTCATGTAGACCCTTCTTACCTGAATTATCACAATAGACTGAACTATATCGCTCCCCCACTCCGCACCTCTTCACCTACTACCTCTTAAAACCTCAGCTCAGGACAAAATCCTCAGGGTCATCCTTGACTCTTCTCTTTCTTTCTGTCTTTCACTTCTACACCCAAGCCATCAGAGCAGAGTTCCTAATTCTGACTTCAAAGTGAGCCCAGAATCCCACCCCTTCTCACCCCCTTCACTGCCATGACCTCAGTCTGAGCAACTAAAATCTTTTCTTGAGCAGCCAGAATACCCTTCAAACTCATCTGTCTGCCCTGGTTTTTGTCCAGCTACAATCTGTCCTCAAGTGAGCAGAGTGGTCAATTTCAAACATAAATCAGATCTGTCACTCTTCCACTCAAAACCTTGTGAAGTTCCTATTCCCTATCCCAGTGGCTCCTGGGGTACTTCCCCAGCCATTTTCTATACCTCTGAGACCTCATCCCCCATCCCTACAACATCCCTCCCCAACCGTCTCTTCTGTCTCCCCAGACACATCAGGCTATTCCCTATCGCGAACCCATGGCTCAATATCACCTTCTGCATGAGTCCTACTCATGACTCCATTACAAATTGTTATTCCTCACCACTTTTGCTCCCCTTATTCTGCTAGTTTATTTTTCCTATATCGCACACTCTCGTCTAGCATGCCTTATAATTTGCTTCCTTGTTATGTTTATGTTTATTATTTGTTGTCTGTCTCAATCCCTTGGTAACAAGCTCTGTAAGGACAGAGATCCTGGTCTGTTTGTTCACTGATGTACCAAGTGCTTAAGACAGTGCCTGGACAGGGCAGGCACTCAGTTAATATTTGTTGAATGACTAAATTAATAAATGAACAGCATTGTACTTATTCTCCCTGACTCTATTCTGGCTGCTATCTTGATCAGCACCACCCTGGAATATTGTTCCATCCTTTTCTTCCTCCATTTTGCCACACTGTACCCTGGAGTTCAACAGTATTATTTGTAGTTGCCCAAAAACTCCACAATTAGTTCATGTCTCTGTGTCTTTACACATGCCCTTGCCTTGTCAGCTTTTCACTGCCAAGACCTGAAGAGTCTGCTACCCACCCACCCCCAGAAGCCCTTTCTGAGCTCTGAGCAGTTGTGTATTCCTTTCTTTGTGGTCCCTTCCTTGAATGATGTTTCTTCTCCTGTGTTGATCATGCTGTGCCATAAAGAGTAAGGTTCATTTATCTTTTATCCCAGAGACCAACACATAGTAGGTGTTCTACGAATGGACTAGATGGAAGGCAAGTAGATGATGGATGGATGGGTAAATTAACAAATGTACAGTTCAAAGTCACCTCCAAGTTCAGGGTGGGGGTGGAGGATGGCTTTTGGCAATACAGCACACATGGTATACATTCCCTGAGTACTTATGGGTGGTTATAGTGGTGATCCTTCAAGTAAAAATGGCACTTGAGGCTCCTGATTCTGGTATCTGGAATTGTTTCTTCGGTAGACAAGAACTAAAACATGCCGTCATAATCCTGGTAGGAGTAATGACTTAAATATATTGTCTTCAGAGTCCCACTACCAGACTGACAGTTTTCAGTGTTCATGAGCTGGTGAGTGTAGGCTAAATGAATCTCACAGCTCTGGCTCAGATAGAATACAAGTTTATTTAGCAGTGCTACTTGTATTAGAAGTGGTACTGATTGTGATAATACTGACAAAATTAACAATTTTGTGATAATCTAAGATTTATCAACTTTAGGGTTAAGATTTTATACTTTGAGCTGATCAGAATTTTTCTATAACCAAAGTCAACTTATTTCTGTATCCATCATATGCTTTTAAGAGTAGAATGCTCTTACTATTGTGCTTCTGCATGATTTAGTCCCTTCAGGTGCGATGGATTGGGTATGTTTGGGTATCCCTCAAGGGATATGCTGGAAGTTTGGTTCCCATTCTGGTGGTGTGGAGGTATTGGAACCTTAAGAGGTGGGACCCAATGTAAGGGAATGATGTCATGGGGGCATCAACTCTGACCAATGATCTCACAGAGTGAGTTAGTTCTGGAAAAAGTGGGTTATCATAAAGCCCACTGACTGCAGATGGCTCTTCTACACAGCCAGTTCCTTCTCCACATTGTGATGCAGCTGGGGAAGTGGAAGAGTGGGAATGGAGCTCACCAGGACACTTGTACCATGCTGTTTGGACACTCTTCCCACCAGAATTATGAGCCAAATTATAAGCCTCTTTACTTATAAATTACCTAGCCTCAACTATTTTCTTATAGAACAGATTAAGTTAAAAACTTAGTGTTTGGCAATGTATACACATATGAATAAATGTATAAATTTAAAAAAAAAACTTAGTATTTGGAAAGTAGTTCAGTGTTCAAATTCTACTGTGGGGTTTTGTTTTCCTCTGCATGGTTTTTCCTCCTTCTCTCTGCAGTGATGTGGGGTGTCAAGTCATCTGATAAACATTCTGATGTAGTGTCAATTCTCATTGACTCTAATAAAGAAAGTCTGGTCCTCCCGTGTCTTTAAGTGGAATCTTCTTCTGTTTTGTTTGTTTGTTTGTTTTGTGGTTCTGGGTTTGAACTCAGGGACTCATGTTTGCCAACCAGGCACTCTACTGTTTGAGCCACACAACCAGCCCTTTTTGTTTTAGTTATTTTTTTTAGATAAGATCTTGCATGTTTGCTTGGATCTGGCCTCAGAGTATGATCCTCCTACCTACACTTCCCATGAAACTAGGATCGCAGGCATATGTTATCATCCCAGCTTCTTTGTGGAGACAAAGATCTCCCTAACATTTGACCTGGCCTGGCCTCCAACTATGATACTCCCAAACTCTGCCTCTCAGGTAGCTGTAATCATAGGTGTGAGTCGTACTCAACCCTCTTTTTCTGCCTTTGCATCTGCTTCAGCTTAAGTCTTTATAACTAGTGCAAACTGGGTTGCTCTTGATGCAGTCAGGACCTCCAACTTGACTCGGATTTCCCTTCATCTCTCCTGACACTGTCCAGAAGCCACTGTCATCCTCATTTCTGTATTCATGAGGAGTACAGTGTATTCATGAGGAAGAGAGACTATTGGTTGGAAGAAATGATCACAAAAGGCCGAAAGGGACAAATCTGTCAATCTGGAAATTTTAGTAAAAAAAATTAGCTGTATTTTTTTGATTGACACATGGTATTTGTACATATTTATGTTATACAATGTAATGTTGTGATTCATGTATATTAAATTCAGTTTATCTTGGGATTTTCACATTGTCTCAGGCCACCAAGTTCACCTAAAGTTGGAAGTTTAGTAATTTATGTTGATGTATTTGTCCAGATTCTTTTGATTGCAAATGAAAAACACCTAACTCAAATTCACTTAGCAAAAAGGAAAACACAAAACATTAAAGGAAGGAAAGGAACACAGGAAGGGAACAGGAGCAGAAAAGAAAAAGAAAATCTTAGGACTATGTCATACAGTTTCCAGAACTCTTCTGATGCCAACCAACTAAAATTTAACTTAGGCTGATACAGACAAAACAACAAATCAAAATAAAAAGAGATGAATTAGTTTGTACAACTGAAAATTCAGAGATAAAACTTAATTTGGACAGGTCTGGAACTAGACTCTGACATCTTGGTTCCCTTCATTCTTTGGCCCCACTCTCCATTTGTTGGACTTGTGTTCAGGCAGTTGACACAATGGCCTATGACGACCTCAGATATATATTTGCCTGCTTTTCAATCCCAGTATAAAATTGAGGGTCTGTTTCCCAGGATTTTCAGCCAAGTTTCTAGGTGAATGGTCACTGGCTCTGATAAGCCTCTTTGGATTATTGCCCATTGTTGAATTATCTGTGACTTGGATAACTCTCTGCCAAGCCAGGATCAAATGACAACTGGGACAACCCCACACAAACTATAAGGACTTAGGAAGGGGTGTTCTCCAATGGAAAAATCAAACTATGATACCAGATAGGGAAAAGATTTTACTAGACATGCAAACATAACAGATATAGAAGAAAAGCATCTATATCTAAAAGGAGAGCTTCACTGAAACCCAAACTCACATCAGAGTTCTTCCTCTGTGGAAGGTGATCTGGACATCCAACCCCCTGTGGACTATTTATTGCCCAGGCCCTCTTTCTCTGGTCATGATCACATTCCTCTCCAAACACCTAGAACTACAGCAGAAAGATTTCTCCCCATAAGCAAATGCAGAGAAGCTACATGCACTTTTGCCCTGGAAAAGTAGCCCTTCTTGGCTCCTCTATTGGCTTCTCAGCATCATTCCCAAGGTTTCTGGAGCTCTGGGGAAAAGTCCATGGGAAGTCCAGCCTCTCCTGTGCTTGGTCTTTGAAGAAGAGAGAGCTGTCTAGCACCCCTGCATTGTCAGCCCTCTCCATGGGCATTCATTCCCCTACTCCCCACATCTGGTCCCAATTCATGGGGACGAGCAGGACTGCTGGAAAGGGTCTCTTCTGTGTTTGTGGCACCCTTTTCTTAATCTTGCCATCTTGGGAGTTTCTAAGTAAGGAGAGATCTAATGTGTAGCTTCAATGTTTTGAAAGTAATCTGTTCCAATTTCCTGTTCTATTGCAGAAGAATCATGAAATGAACCTGAGTTCTGCCTTCTCTGTAGTTTGGGGAAAGAGTGGCCAAATTTTGACTCATATCACTGTATGTCATAGCTTAAGAGCTATTAAGCTCCTGTTCACAGTTTGAGGGATTATTTACCTGGGCCTGAGGTCACAAGCCATATCTGCAATCAACAAAAAAACAACTAGAAAAAAAAAAAACACTTCAAATTTCTCAAATCTCCCAAGATTTAAAAAGGAACAAAAAGTTACTGGTGTGTTTGCTGACTGGAGTGATTATGTGACTCAATCATTTTGATTTACAATTGCATCTTTGTCCTTGTAGAAATAACTCTCTATAGCTGAACAACGGGAGATGGAAACAGATTAACCTTCCAACATGTGAATACAAGACGAGTTCCAGGGAGCAGCCTCTATTTGAGGTTAACACAAAGTCTCCGGTTTCCATGAATACACAAAATTAAAAAGCATTCTTTTCTTCCCCCTTTTCTTTCTTTTGATCTGCCATGAAAAGGGAATTATCAGTGGCGGGTGTCTAAGCCTCAGTTTTATTTTTCCCCTTACGCATTTTGCATCATAAAACATTTGAATCTGTTTGACATGTTCCGGGAACTCTGAAGTAATATTTGGTCATTGCATACAATAGACTGCAGAAAAATAAAATGCAAGAAGTTCTGGAATGTAAAGTTTATGGGCCATACTGCAAATACAAATGGCATTTTTAGTTTTCAGAAATAAAGAGGACTGTGCCTTCCCTTTGTATCTGAAAAAGCCACTACACTAGATCAGTGACTCTCAGACCTGGACAGGCATCAGAATCCACCAGAGGGCCTGTAAAGCTCAGAATGCCAGGCCCCACCCCCAGGATTTCTGACTCACTTGGTCTAGAGCAGGGCCTAGGAGTTTGCTTGTCTAGGATGTTCTGAAATAATGTTGATCCCGAGAACATACTCTGCTGACCCGAATGTAAACAGAAAGCCATTCCTGTCTCCCCAGCTTATGAGACCAAATAGACGGTGTCCCCTTGTTGATACTCCCATCACTTCATTATACCTCCTGAGGACATTTGACTTCAGAGGCTGAATGGGAATCCAGCTGATCTGGACAATTAGGATTCTTTCTGTCTTGTTTTAGCTGGGTCATCTATTTCTAGTAAGCACCATGAAAATAAATGAGAATCACCAAAGGCTACGTAGTTGGAGCTTCCTGCAGCAGGGAGTCAGCCACTATTACTGGTGTTTAGCAGAGGTTTGAGCCAGACAGAGAAGTGGGAAAACTTTCTAGTGAAGAAGGAGAAGGCTTCAGGCTTCCCTGGTTTGGAGGTGTTGGCCTGAGGAAGCTGTAGGTAGGCTCTCTACAACTGAGCATCCTGTGTTACTGGTCAGGGGAGCATGCTTGGCTTTTTTTGATTGGTTCCAAGTTGGAAGAAGGGACAAAAAATTATCCATTATTACTCATTTGGGGCCAATTGCTATAGGGATTATTGTTTGTCTTGTTGGATTGTTGGTAGAGATGGCAATCTGACTTCCTATATACCTAACTTGCAGGCTGGCTTGCTGGAGTGGATATTGTAAGTAAGAGGTTGGTTTCCTGAACAGGTTGTTAAAGGTTGTGGGTCAGAATTCTACTCTTATATATTCTGGCCATTATCCTTTCATATATTTGGTCTCAGGCTACACAGTAGACATTCCCTTTTTGTAAATTCCTGGCACATTCTATACTGGCCAATTTTAATTAAACAACAAGTGACCTTTATTACGGTCACTATGGATAAAGTATTATGTTAGGTATATGAAGTTTTAAAGACATAAGCACCAATGTCAGTGAGAAACAGCCTAAATCATTTGGGCATGAAGAAGGTCCTGGGCACAGGGTATTTAGAATACTCCACCACACTTGCTATGGAGTGAGAGGGTGTCCAACATTCATTTCCTTTCCTAGGTCAGGGAGCTTGGTCTTGGTCTAATCCCAGAGTGTAGCTTGCACTCTTGGATCAGGAGGTGGTTTTCTGTTCTTTTCTTCAGAGCTAGCTCCTTGGGGCCATTCCTACCATCCCTCTGGTCACTACTCCTGATAAGCCCCGTGCCTCTCCAATGCAGGTGGATGATCTTAAAGCCAAGCTGGCCATCCAGGAAGTGGAGTTGAAGCAGAAGAATGAAGATGCAGACAAGCTGATTCAGGTGGTGGGCATGGAGACCGATAAGGTGAGCAGAGAGAAGGCCATCGCAGATAAGGAAGAGCAAAAGGTGGCCCTCATCATGCTGGAGGTGCAGCAGAAGCAAAAGGACTGTGAGGAAGACCTAGCTAAAGCAGAGCCAGCCCTCATGGCCGCCCAGGCAGCCCTCAACACCCTCAACAAGGTAGGAGGACGGTACACTGTGACTACTTGCTTCCCCAGGGTGGGGGTGGGGAGAGCAGGACAACAGACAATTGTTCCTGAGCGTTCTGAGGGCAAAGCTGAGAGGACTAAAGGTGAACTCCAGCTGTCACTGGTTTACTCATTCAGTAAGCAAACGTGACTATATGGCAGGGTCCAAGAGCTACCAAAGAAATTCCAAATCTGAATGTTAATCTTAGAACCATCCAAAAACATGAAAGATCAACTGGTCCAGGCTCCTCACTTCTCAGATGAGAAAGTCAAAGCCCAAAGAGGAGTCTGACTTGCCCAGCATCACAGTTGTAAATATTAGAGCTGGGAGTTGAACTTGCATCTTCAGAACCAAATCCCAGAGATCTTCCTGTTTAGCAACTCAGACACATTTTGCCCATTAGGTACTAGAGGACACAGGAGCTTATCCTAAAAGCTTAAGACATAAAATAAGATGTTGGCTCCAAAATAAGAAAAAAATCCATAAAATAAAAAACAGCAAATGTTCAACAATCAAGTGGCAGCAATGAAACTATGTCAACCAAATTCAACTCCCATACATAACCATTTGGTGGAACCAGCATGACTTTTGAGATGTAAGTCACTAGGCAATTTTATTTGGTTCCCTTTAAATTTGTTTTGGGAGTCCATGATTAAATTTGCCTTAAGGTCCAAGGTTCATTATGTCTACTTTCTCATTTGGATAACCAGAAGTAAAGGAGAAAAAGGAAAACATGGGGGCAGGGAGTGAAGTTCATGTTGTTATGATATGGCATCAGAAAGAGACTGAAAAACTGCCCTTTTCTCTATCAAGATGCTCACATGGGTTCTTTGGAGTTGCTCTACCAGCCACTGGAGACCTTACAGATTGCTTCTCCTGATTCCCCTGCATCTAGCAATTAACTCACCCCCTTTAAATTAGCCACTTGGACAGGATCTAAGACAATGTATGGCAGCTCTTCCCTGCATGTGGTTCACCTCTCATCTGTTGGAGACACCTCTGTCTCCTCTCTCCAAACATCCTTTGAGCACTGGCCGCCCAATGTGCCATATTCTCCCTACTCCACTATTGGGGAGCTATCCAGCTCTCCTCACATACTCTAGATTTCTGTTGTGTAAGTTAGCCCCTCTTTCTAGATTTTATGTAAAAAGAGTAGCTGCCTCACATCTTCCCTTAAACACAGAGTGGGGGGCATCAACAGTCCTCACTAAAATGTCCCTTTTAATCTTCAACTTCCTGGCCCTTTTAAATAGACGTTTTTATTTATTTGTCAGTACTGGGTTTTGAACTCAGGGCTTCATGCTTGGTAGGCAGGTGCTCCACCACTTGAACCAGTCTTCCAATCCTCCTGACTCTTTTTATCCTTAATAAGGATTTGCCCTTATAGCGTGAAGAGTTTAAGAGTCAAAAAAAACCAAAAAACTAGTCCTGTGAAGTCTTTTACAAAGTGATGTTATGACTTTGAATTCAATATGGGATGATTAAATCAAGCTAATTAGCATATCCATCACCTTAAATATTTACTATTTTTGTTATGAGAGGATTTGAAATTCATTCTCTTAGTGATATCAAGATATACAGTACTTAATTATTAGTTATATTTACCATGGTGTGACTAGATCTCAAAAAAATCAAATGTAGTCCTGCTATGAGGTTTTGAGTGTAAGGTCTCCATAATTCCGACCTTGCCCAGCCTCTAGTAACGACCGTTCCACTTTCTGGTTCTATAAGTTCAATCATCTTATGTTTGATATATAAAATCATTTGGTATTTGCCTTCCTATCTTTACTTATTAAACTTAACATAATGTTCCATAATTCTACACACATTGCCACTCACTTTTTAAAGACTGAAGAGTATTCCATTATATATTACACATACATCGTTCTCTTTGCCCAGTCACCTGTAATGGATCCTTACATTGACTTCATTTATTGTCTACCGTGACTGGAACTAAATTTAGCATGGAATACAGGCATTTCTTTGGCATAGTAGTTTTGAATCTTTTGGGTAAACACCCGGAAGAGGGATTGCTGGTTCATGTGATAATCCTATTTTTAGTTTCTTCTAGGGTCTCAATGCTTTCCATGATGTTTCTACTAATTTACGTTCCCACCAACAGTGTGAGATTTTCCCTTTCCACCACACCCTCTCCGATGCACTTACCTCTTGCATCTTTTTATATTAATCATTCTAACAGATGTGGATGATATGTCATTGTGGCTTTAATTTTTATCTTCCTAATGATTAAAGAGATTGAGCATTTTTCCATTTATCTGTTAGCCAGTTATATGTCTTCTTTTGAGAAATAACTATTTAGGTCCCTTGTCCATTTCTTAGGTGGATTATTTGTTTTCTTTTTATATAGTTGTTTGAGTTCCTTATATATAGGGCATTAATTTCCTTATCAAATGTTTAGATTACAAATATTTTCTCCTGATCTGTAGATTATCTCTTTACTCTCTTGTTTCTTTTGTCAAACAGAAGTTTTGATGGAATCCCTTTTGACACCTTGTGCTCTTGTTGCCTGTTTTTGAGATCAAATCTAAAACCTTCTTGCCCAGACTAATGTCGTGTAACACTCTCCTGTGTTCTCCTGAATCTATAGATTCAGGTCTTGTGCTTAAGTCTAATCCATTTTGAGTTGATTTTTGTATATACTGTAATATAGAGGTTTAGTTTCTTTTTTTTTTTTGCATGTGTATATACAGTTTTTCCACACCACTTATGAAAGAGATTATTCCTTTACCCATGTATACTCTTAGCATCTTGTCAAAAATCAATGGATTTATAAGCTAATGAGATCATTTCTAGGCTCTCTATTTTGTTCTACTTGTCAGCATGTTTATTTATATACTAGTACTATGCTGTTTTAATTTCTATCACTTTGTATATAGTTTCAAATCACGTAGTAGGGTACCTCTAGTTTTGTTTCTTTTGATTTAACTGCGTGGACTATTAAGGGGTTTTTTGTGGGTCCGTATGAATTTTATGATGGTTTCTTCTATGTATATGAAAAATCGCCTTAGAGTTTGAGAGAAATTGCATTGAATCTGTAGATCACTTTAATAATGTGAGCATTTTAACAATATTAAATTCTTCCAATCCACAAACACAGAATTTGTTTCTGTCTATTTGCATCTTCAGTTTCTTTCATTAATGTTTTATAGTTTTTGGTAGACAAGTCATTCATCTCCTTGGTTAAATTTATTCTGGCATATTTTATTTTGTAGCTATCATAAATGGGATTCTTCTCTTAATTTCCTTTTTTGGAAAATTTATTGTTGTTATACAGCACTGTGTGTTGACTTTTGTCTCCTGCAAATTTTCTAAATCCATTGATTGGTCCTAATAGTTTTGGAATTTGACACTGGAATCTCTATGGTTTTCCATATATAATACCGTACTGTTAGCAAACAGCAACACTTCTTCCTTTTATACGTTTTATTTCTTTCTCTTGCTTTAATAGCTCTTGCAAAGATTTATAATCCTATGTTGCATAGAGAGGGAAAGAGTGGGCTTCATTGTCTTCTTCCAGATCTTACAAAAAAGCGTTCTGATTTTTCACCATTGGATATAATGTTATCTTTGGGCTTATTGTATATGACCCTTGTGTTGAAGTACATTCTTTCAATACATAATTTGTTGAGCATTTTTATCATGAAAGAATATTGAATTTGGTAAATGATTTTTCTGCATCTAATAAAATGATCCTATGATTTTTATCCTTCATTCTGTTAGTGTGGTGTATCAGATTTGTTGATTTGCAAAAGTTGAACTGTCCTTGTATCCCAGAGATCAATTTCACTTGATCATGGTGAATGATCCTTTTAATGTGTTGTAGAAATGGGTTACTAATATTTGTTGAGGATTATTACATTTCTATTCATCAAGGTCATTGGCCTGTAGTTTTCCTGTGATGTCCATTCTGGCTTTGGTATCAGGGTAACTCATAAAAAGAGTTTGGAAGTATTTCCTCTTCTGCAAGTTTTTGGGAAAGCTTGCAGAGAATGTGTGCTACTTCTTCTCTACATTTTTGGTAAAATTTCTCAGTGAATCCATCAGGTCCTGGGCTTTTTTTTTTTTTTTTGATGGAAGACTTTAATTACTAACTCAATCTTTTCATTCATTATTGACCTATTCAGATTTTTAAATTTTTTTTCATGATTTGGTGTTGATAGACTATGTAAGTTTGTTTATCTCTTTTACTTTATCCAATGTAGGGCACTTAAAATGGAAGTCTGATTGTGTCATCCCTCTATTCAGAATCTCACATTGGCTTTCATTATGTTCAGAATAAAATCCAAGGAGGTCATTCCATAACTACAAGGCGCTGAGTGATTTTTGCCTGTGCTGCCTCTTCTGCCACATCAGTTACTTCTTCTTGTTTTGCCATTCCACTCCACCCATGCTGACTGTTCCTCAAACACTCCAGCCACTGACCCACCCCAGGACCTTTGAATGAGCAATCACCTCCACGTGGAATGCTCATCCCCCATGGTCTCTGCTCTTTTTTTTTCAGATGTTTGTCCAAAAGTAACCTTATCAAGAAACAAACAATAAAAGTATTTATTAATTTCAGAAAAATCAAGTCATACATGAAATAAAATATAACCCATGGGATCAGTATGTATAACTGTATATACATATATATATATGAATGTTAATTTAACTAGAAATTTGATGTAACAATAATGGTGGACTATTAGATGAGAAAGTAAAGTAAAAATAATTACTCACACTCTGCAGTGGGAAGTCACTTAATAATGTCTGAGAAGGAAAACCCAACAACATAAGCACATTCTTCATTGATAGGAGTGAGATTTGGAAGTAATGATGGAGGCAACTGTATGTGCTGGCTGCTGAGAGCTGTGGACAGACTTGTTTCCTCAGCCTTGTAACTCTACTAGAGTTTGTAAGCTATGTGCATGCATTATGACAGAGATAAAAATTAAGGGTTTTTTTCAATGACTTGAGAAAACACAGAAGAG